CTAGGGCCCCTTGCACAGAAAAGGAAACAAAGCGGAGCTGACAGTGATTTGCATAAACCCAAGAATATCAGCCCTTCCTCCCCACCCCCGGGAGCAATAAGTAAGGATCTTATGACAAGAAACCCAACAGCAATCTCCAGCTGGCAGCTCCTCGCATGCTCTCGATAACACCAGCCCTTGCTGCCAGATGGAGAATCTTTTACATCATCGGCAAACTGCGCAAGGACAAGGCTGCAGGGGGGAGCCAAAGCCCCCGGCTCCCCTACGCGCTGTTTTCACCGGGGGTTCGACAGGACCACACGGTTCTGCCAAGTGGCCTGCCTGGAGGAGCGCAGATGGCTCCGTAAACCGCCGGCGCTTACCGTGGGGCTGGAGCACGCTGCTGCTCACAGGAGGGGGGCTGCTGTTTGGCTGCCTGAAGAGATGGTTGTTAGGGTGGTTCGGGGGCGGGCTGGATGGCTGAATCCGTAACCTGCGCAGGGAAAGAAGCACCTCGCCATCATGCTCGCACCTCATGAAGATGCCTTTTCCACTGTGAGAGCTGACACCAAATGCTGCGTTTCTCATTTTAAATAAACACCATAAAGCCCTTGTTTGGGATCTTTGCAGCTTGGCTTCTCTTCCGAGAGCCACCTAACCTGCCCAGCTCACATAGGCAGCAAGCATAACCCAGTGGCTACAACACAAACCTGGGGAACAAAGACACTGCAGGCTCGCCACCTGACTCTGTGGGGCCTGTGAGAAACCTTCCTTTTCTCCTTTCCCGTAACTCAGCCTGCCTCATCTACAAGTCAGGGTGCTGAAGCCAAGGACGGTCACCCAACCCAAAGCCTGAAAAGCTGTGAGATGTCCAGTAGCAGCTCTGAGGAGAAAGCATGAAAGAAACCAGGTACTGAAGGCAATGTGTTTTCAAGGCAGTCAAAGGGCAGGACTGTCTATCATCTGTTCAAAGCAGGTTTGTGCCTTTGAATCCTGTTTCTTTGCTTCTAAAAGTACTTCAGACAGAATCCAGCTGAAAGGAACAGGCACAGTCACCTGGGAACTGGCTACGCCATTCTGACTTTACACACTTCCAACTCAGCCTCGGAGTCTCCTACGTGTATGAGCTCATCCCTGGGCTTGAGTAAGAGTAAAGTCCATTTCTCAGAGCTCTACTGCAGCAATTTCTTTACCTCTGAAGCTGGTGAGTGAGCAGAGCTGGCTGGTTTTCACATGGAGCTTGCAAGGGTGGAGATGGTTGGGGTGGCCGGATACAGTCCTGAACCAGAAGAAAACAAGAAGTGTTTGCAATCAATAATGTCTCAACTAGTAAAATCAGAAACATTGACTGGTGAAATAGGATATATCCAGATTCACCAAATACTCAATCCCTGCTGCAGCTCTGGCTATCGCAGCAGCTGTGCAAACATCACTGCTGAAACGTCATCACAGCAAGCCAAGCAATCCACCCTCCTCAATTCTACCAGACCCGCTCAGTCCTTGTCTCAGCAGCCATGCAGGAAGGCACAGCGAAGACTTCAGAAGTTCTGGCGTGGGCTCCAGTACCTGAATCTGCTGATGAAGAATCTGATGGTGCTGCTCCTGCTGGTACAACATGTGCTGCTGCTGCGTCTTCTCCAGCGTCCTCTCGTCCATGTGCCCACCATACATCTTCTGAAGCTGCTCGCACTCCTGTAACAGATCCAACACACCCTCTAAGTGACCTTTTTCTGCAAACAGGAACTTTCTGCAGCCTACCCAGCTGAAAAAAGCCAGGAAAGCAAGCCCAATGAATTTAACTTGACAGAATCAGGTGTGTATTAACATGGCAAGCTCAAGCCTTGGACAACAGAAAAGAAACGGGTGCACATGACACCCAGCTGCAAGCACAGTGATAAAATGCACTCTAGCAATGCTAACTTCAAGGTGAAAAGAGCATCTCCTATTTCTACCATGTTGCAAGGTGAAAGGCCTGTCCTGGGACCAAATCCTGCCCAAGCCATTGATAAGACGTGCGCAGGCTGTGCAGTGAACAGCATACAATCCTCTCCAAACTGCGGCAGAAGGAACTGCCCTTTTCCCACAACACCCTGGAACAGCCCCAAACTCTGCTGCCACAGAAACCGTGGGAGAGCAGCAGCCGCAGCCTGACAGGGCTGGTGGGACCCCCAAAGGCAGGCAGAACAGCCCACGTGTGGGCATGGCACCCGGTCTGCTCCCCAGAAAACAGGGGGTGGGAAGCCCCCAAGGTTCCCAGCCTGCTGGTGAACAGCACATATGCTTAAAGGACACTCAGCAGGGGTGCTGCAGGAGTATAGAGGGGCAACAGCTCCTCAGCTGGAAAGCCACCGCTGCATGACAATACAAAGCCCTTGCAGAGGCTCTTTTGAGGTCCCCCACCCCTGTCCTTTACCTGCTGAAGCTGTTTGATGCTGCTGTTATTGCCCATCTTCTCCAGGTGGGCTTTGAAAGCCTGGATGCTGGCAGCACCATCAGAGAAGCGCCGAACCGGGGAGAAACGTTCGGTGGGGAGGTGCAGAGTATTTGAGTCCTTGTAAATAGAACTGAACACATGGGGAAGCGGGTTAGTGATGCCAGCTGAAAACCAGACCCCGGTACAGAGACATTTCATTTACACCAGTCATGCCGAGTTCTACCTGCCCACTCACCCTGAATAAATCATGGTTTAGATCAAGAAATAAAGTGCCACCGTCACCGTGAAAAGGAAACAGGATTACCGAATATCCTCAGTGCCTGGGCAGATAAATGTGTTTTAAGGTTGGAGACAACTCAGCCACAAACCAGATTCCAGATGGGCTGCAACTCATTGTCCATCCATTCAGATACATCTACCCCTCAGATGGAAAAGGTTTACAGCAACCTAAAAATGTAAATTCACCTCTTCAGTAGCCACTTCCTGAGCGTTCAAGCTCCCCAGGACCCCTGACTACATCTGACGGCTGCAGAAAACAGCAGGGGCACCTGGAGAAAGGAACCTGATGAGTTCTGCTGCCGCTGAGGGGGAAGGGGGGCTGGCAGCCATGCTTAGGGATGCACTGAATTTAAAAACCAAAAAGGCAGGAGCGTAACTGCACATTAGGGGAGATCTTTCTAGTGCATTAACCAAGCTGTCGCTTCACATCCAGAGTCTCCCAGTTGCCTGGATGCTTGGCACCGGGCAATCAGAATGGGCACACTGGAAAAGCAGACACAGCCAGTATTGAGGCAACTGTGCCCAAGGAGCTACAAGCACTTTCCCTGCACAATTTGGTTTCTTCTTCACCATCAGAGGGAGCCAGATTTTTTTTTTTTTTTCAGGAGATGTTTTCTCCCAAAGTTGGGGCTCCCCATGATGAAAGTCAAGCCCTAAGCTGCTGCCCTGCTATCAGGTGCCACCTGTATGATCACCAGCAAAGCCACCTTTCCATACACACATCACAGTGTGCCTTATAACAAACAGAGCCAGGTTGCTCTGCCTGCCCTGATGGGTTCTGTGCAAATGCACCCTGTGAAACCCAGCAAACAACACTTCACGCTACAGGCTGTGGCCTTTGTCTGGGAGAAGGTGACGGAGATGCGATCTTTACAGCACCTCCAGCATCCTGGCACAGAAGCCAGCAGGAGCCCAGCTGGCTGCACACCGCTGCGGTCCTGAACTGCATGACTGCGGGCACTTTCCTGCTGTGGCTGCCCTGAATGGGGCTCTTCACTGAAGCCCTTTCCAAGAAGTGACACTGTCTCCTGGAGAGGCTCTCCCTTATCAGCAGGTGACTGACGCTGGACCACTTCCAGCACGCTGGGCTCAGTTCCTGGCACCTGGTCTGCCTTAGCAGTTTCTATAGATGACACACAACTTTCTTCCAAGGATAGAGCTGTGCCCCTGCCTTTTGATGCCATCCTGTCCGTTCTCCTGATCCATTTGATCTCCTGTCCTACTGATGGAAAGCAGAAGCTACAGATAAAACTACACTGAGGCTGCAGAGCCAAAGCAGAACAACTGAATTGCCTTGTACAATTGTCATACTTCAATTCTGCTTTCCGATACTAAGCTATTGTGACCAAAACCAGGTCCTACAGAATAAGGTGGCTTAAAAACATCCAGTGCTAACATAAAACCCACCTGCCATTCGGTAATTGAGGTCCATTTATGTGATGACACAAGACTGCTAACGGTTTCTGGGACACGTATCTCGGACACAACATGGGGCAATCTGTTTAGGCCACGGTCCGATAAAGTTTCTGTGATTTTGCAGGTAAAACGTGAGGCAGGCTCACAGTGCATTAAGACAACGAGGGTGGAACGGGCAGATACCACCCTGTTCATGATGCAACAGCCTCAGGACTCCACAGCCAAGAGGCAGAGGTGACACCAGCATATTTACAGGGTAAGTGTGTTTTGACAGTCTTGTAAAAAATCAATTCCTGCAGTGCGTGAGGGACCCAGCTTACCTTTACGATTTGAAGCAATCCTTAAAGCAGGATACAGCACATTCTGGTTGTTCTGCAAGCTGCACTCCTCTTCCTATCAAGACCCTAGAAATCTTTCCCCTCCTGCCCTTCCCATCCCCCAAGCACCTCTATGAGGGAGTAACTTCAGGGTATAGAGGTGCTTATCTTGGTTTTCCGGAGTTCCAGCGTGGCACTAGCACTGCTCAGAGTTCACCTGTCTCTGCTGATTACATCAGTGCTCAGCTCAGCAGGTCTCTGGCTACAATAAAAAGCGCTTTGTCAAGCTTGCCAGCATGAGCTGGCTGGAAGATTGAGCACGAGCACCAATCCAGCCTGGTAGGCGACTGCTTTCTCAACAGTCGATCGAGATCAACAGGCAGCAAGCTCTGCAGTTTGCACCCTCGGCACTGAGAGGTTCAGAGGGACAGTTTTTAAGCTCCCTCTGTGGCATTAGCATCACCGATTTGCTGCTGTGGCAAGGACTCTGTGTCAGATTAACACCTCTCTCCCCATCAGGAGTGTCCCACCCACACACTGAGTATGTTTAGATCCAGGCTGCAGAGGGTCCCCCCTTTCCCAAACATGGTGATTTTCTCTTCCCACCCCACCTTCCTTTCCCCACATCATTCCCATCAGGGGTTCAGATCAGAAATAAAATTACTCTTGAGGAGCTTTGCAAAGAGACTTTGCAGTCAAAACACACAACTCTGGTGCAGAACAGTGAGGTTTTTAAGCTCTGGCATAGATGACTCTTGGTGCAGTCTTTTACCTGCATCTGCCTCCAAAATTCTTCTGTAGAAAATCTGCAATCTACTGCTAGCTTGACACCTACCCTTCCAATAGAGAAAAGCTTTCCTGTAAAAGGAACAGCTTATTCCCAGCCCTTACGTGACGGCAGCCATTCCAGCAAATCCCCTCCAGCCACAAAAACAGGACCGGAGGGGAAGAGACAGCTGATTGCTGCCCCTGTATTGCCTGTATTTGCAGGTGCAGAGCCCGCGCCAGCACAGAACTCCAGTGTCCCCAGCACGATCAGACACCCCCTGCTCTGCGGGTCTGCTCTTTGTACTCGTTCCTCCTCCTCACCCCTCCCTGCCAAGCGGGATGTCCTCAGTGCTCCATTCCAGACGACATCTGAGCAGGTTTCCTGGCGCAAAGCTGCCCGAACGGCCGGTGCCATTACTCACCGGTGCTGATCGGGTACCAGGTGTGGAGCCCAAGCCCGGGGTCGGAAGGACTGCTGTCCTAGCTGCCTCTGCAAGTCTGGAGGGATTTCAGCTGTAGGGTTGGTCATTGCCAGAGTGTGCCTTTTTGACCTATTTGCCAAGTATCTGCAACAAGCAGGAGCACATTTTATAAGAGACTGATGGGAGTACTCCAAAAACAGGGAGCGTTAGATAATCCAGAGTAAACGGGAAGGAAGAATGCTTGCTGCAGCGCTCAGAACCAACCAGGGGCCCGTGCCCGTCACATCACTGGTCTTCAGTGCTTAGGGGACAAGTGCAGCTTCAGCTGCTTGTGTGCTACTGCCAACCTCAGAAGGAAGGAGCAGCCATTTGCTCTTCCCAGCAGAAAAGCCATGTTTCATCTCAAGGGGAACGCTGGTATATCCCTTTGGGAATACCCAGGTGACTACCTGCCCTCAGCCTGGATTCGCTCCACTACAGCGGCTCTGCCTCCCTCTGCCAAGGCCCTGCAGAGAAGCCTGCTGCATGCACCGAGCCAAGAGACGAGTCACAGATAACCCTGGCAAGAGCTGGCCAGGAACGGGCGCAGAGCGGAGCTGCTGCTCGGCTGCACCCTTGCAGGACGGCCTTTGCACTTCAGCCGGGGCCTCGCCGTGAGCAGCAGGAAGGGCTGGTGCTCAGCCCGGTCCGACTGCGCCATCTAGTCCCTGCTCCTCTCCCAGGGATGTCGGAAATGGCCCAGCGATGCGCAGGGCAAAACCTGCACGGGAAAGCAAGCAGCCAGAGCGTCCCTTCCTCTGGAGCCAGAGCCACCAGCACTAAGGCTGGGCTCTTAAACCAGAGCCTGGGGGCAGCGGCTTAAACTGAAGCACCCTCTGCACTGGAACCAAGGGCCCGCAGCTCTTCTGCAAACCCTCTAAAGCCTGGGGAGCACGCAGGGCAGAGCTAGGCTCCTCTGCTTTGGCAAGGATGTGAGCAAGGGCCACACCACTCTGCCAGCTGCTGCCTTGAACTGCTAGCTCCTGGCTGCAGCGATGCTCAGAGCAGCTGGGGGCACGGGGCCAGAAGAGATAACACACGAAGCACCTACCCTGGATGCCCCGGCTCATGATGAACACAGGGGCTAGCATTTCACCCGCTCAAGGCCAGCTGGGATGAATGCCCACTGAGGAACTCAACTATTTCTACTCTCGTGAACCAGCAGCAACGAGGTGGCTGTGGCAACTGTGACAAAGATTGCTTGGTCAGCAACCAGCGATACTAACATGGAATTCTCACCTTCACTCTTTTCCCCTGCAAAAGCTCTCTGCAACTGCAACATCAACTGGTGAAGCCAAGAAGAGCAACAAACAGAAAAAGTTGTTGCCTTCTCCAACCCCAGCCTGTCTTTGCTAGCTCCTGAAGCCACTTAAGCAGGAGACAGCAAGTTAAGAGAATGAAGAGTGCTTAGCGCTGTGGTAACTTGCCAAAGCCTATGCCATTAGCTGTTTAAGAATCATTTGATGCAGACAGGGAAAGTTTCCCAAAGAGCTTCACAGTTGTGGTTTGCTAAGATCATTTTATTTCAGACCTCCAGGGAACAATCCAATCATGAGCTATAACAGCATTTCGGGTGGAAGAAAGTCTCCCAAAGCTCAAAGGAGATGCGACTGTTCCCTCGAGCAGAGAAAAGACTACGCTCTGGTTTCAAGGTCAGATTGAGAAGGGCAAAACCTGCTCGCTGGTGGCTGCATACAGAGTGTTCAGAGCAGTGTTCTGAGAAGCTAAATATTTGCATCTGTCCCTGATGTTACTATTTACCCTTCTCCTCTGATGATTACTGACATCTTGCAACATAAGGGGGTGGAGAGCAAGTTAATGCACAACCTGGAAGGGGCTTTTTCTGGGCCATCTGGTGGAAGAAGAACATGCAGCACAAAGGGACTAAGGGCAGCACTGTCAGGAGCAGCAAGGCGACCCATGGGTCCAAGGACAGTCGCAGCCTTTCAGCGGGATCTGAACATTTCAGGGCCTTGCAACCTACAAAATACTGCACGGGGGTTTCAAAATGTTTCTGGCTGAACTAAAGCTTTTACTTAAAGACTCAACCGAAATCTCAGGTTTGAGAACAGGAGAGGTGAAAATCTGCCCAGGTAAGATGTCCAGGCAACCCCTTGCCAAGAATCAGATTTACCTGATTTGCAGTCAGAAAGACTGTCTGCCACCTGAAGTGCTGTCAGTGGACATTATGGGCCCTAAATTACAACTTCTAGTAACTATCCAGGCAGCACAGCTGTGTACAGAGTCTGTGCTCCCGAGCCCTGCTAGGGAAGGCAGCGCACAGCGAGGGCACAGCAGGCTAACGGGCTGAACGCAGCCCGCGGTGCCTGGAGGGGCACGCTCCTCATCTGCTCAACACTACAAGTGAGCCTCACTTCTGTCATCGTGCCACCACGCAGCTGGGGCCGGTCACGAGCAGGTACCTTCCCAGCACCGTGGCTCGGTGGCTGAACAGCAGTGCATGAAGCTGGAAAATACTGTGAGAGGGAGCACAAAGATGGGGGTGGTGAGGAACTGGGGCATAAGGCTAGGCAGAAACACAAGGTCTGCTCCGTGACAGCTCTGCGGTAGGGCTGGAAGAGAGTTCTTTCACATGTACCAGCTTTGGCTTTCTTCTAAGCTCAGGTAGGCAAAGGGAGTCTGAGCGCACACTCTGCACAGTCTGCCACTGCACACACCCACCGTTCAAATCCCCCCTTCGCTCTGGAGCACTGAAAGGAGAAGAGCTGGCAGGGGCTCTGGAGTACGACCTCCACCCACCCTGGTGTTTCTCTGCCTGCAACCAACCCCCAGTTTGAATCTTTCTCCCGAGAGCAGCCCCTGAGGAAATGCTACCTGACTGGAGGTGGTGGCCTGTACAAACTGGGGGGAGCCAGGAAACTCTTCAAGTGCGAGGTAAGAGGTAGGAGCACTCCGCAACCACACCCACCACAGGTAGTGCACCAGCTGGTTAGCAGAGAAGGAACTACGCAAAAGCTACTAAAAAATGTTAGCAAGGACATGGTTAGTGTTTTCACAGATTGAGAAAGTACAAGCGTATTCTACCCGCTTCCCAGTATGTGTTTGGAGCAGACAAAGAGAACAGAAGTTTCCAGCCTGGTTTCTAATAATCCTTCCCTTACTGGAGCAGACTATTTTAAGGCCCACTGCTAAAATTAGAAGCTGGAGGTACCCACATTTCCAGCAAGCTCACTTTAAGGCATCAGAGTTGGATGTTTACTGCATGTCTTGATAAAAAAGCTGCATCGACACCCAAGGCCACAGAGGAGATCTTCCTGCCTCCGTCACTCAGCAGGGAGGGGTGAATCACTTAGCACTCATTTTGCAGGTTAGTGTGGATCGCATGCTGGTGCACACTAAGCAAAGGAATTCAGCAGAGTTTCTGGAGAACCTACTGCTCAATCAGCTAACCTTTTCGGGGGGAATCCAGCTTTGTAAGCCCCTAGCAGTGTCAGAGGAGTAACTGCCTGCAGTAATCAAAACCCATAAGAACAAGAGAAATGCTGAGCCTTCGCTGTGATCAACTTTGTTGCCTGGGATGAGGTTGCTTGTGTTTAATTTGGCTGTGGAACACCACAGGGTGAGCCTCGTGGAGGCAGGAAGGGCAAATGTGAACAGACTGGGAGTTACCTCTGCACAGCTTCCTGATCCGGCTCCCCGTCGGAGCTCTCCTCGTCCACAGGGGTGACAGCTGGGACAGCCTGCAGAGAGAGGAGAAGCCATGGGTTCCAGAGAGTGGCCGGGGGGGGGGACACCTGACCCTCCCAAACAAGCTTCCGCAAGAGTATGTGTCAGCTCCTCTGCAGCAGCAAGGACACCCGGCCAAGAACCCCTTCCAACGTTCCTTCCCCAGTCAAAACTGCCCGTACAAGTTGCTGCTGCTTTTGGTGCTACCTCAAAGATTCATTGATACAGATGCATCAAGGAAGAAAGAATGTGCATTAATGCCTGAGACTGACATTTTCATTTTTTGTATTAGATCAGCAAAGGAGAAGAAAAGCAACCCTTAAAAAAATGTTCACAAATACTGTCGTGACGGAGCCCCCTGCCACTCCAGAGCAGGAGAATGT